GCCACCATGATGTGATGTAGGAGTAACCAGAACTGGGCTGATTCAGGTGCCGTAACCTTGACCCCTTAAAACTGTGAGCTGAATAACCCTTTCCTCTTTATAAAGTTAGCTCCTTCTAGTATTTTATTGCAGTAATGCAAGGTGATTGTACATAAAAATTAAACATAATAATATACCAATATACCATCGGTATTATATTACAGTAATAAAATGTTATTATGATATCATAAAATAATATTAGTATACTAATACGCACAATACAAGCTGGCTTCACATATTATACCTTCTAAAAAGCCTAAAGTATTTCTTAGGGATCTCGTGAGGAAACCTTTGCTTGCGTTAGCTCCATTTGAAGATTATGAGCAACTCCTGGTGTCTGGAGGAGATGGGGTCACAGGGCAGACTCTGTGGACGTCCTATAACATCTCACGTGGCTCTGCTCTCTTCTCAGTGGACAGCCTTCCAGTGAGAGGAAAGGACAAAGCGCGCTTGCGTATTTCCCATAATCCAAACTGCTTCATGCAAGTGTTATTTGGATCCGTTTTTGTTCAACCATCATCACTGTAGGACCTGTGGGTTCATTCATAGATCTTGCTTCTAATGCAGGAGGAGTAGCTAGACACAGAAGGGAAGCTGCACCCATGTCATCTTGACAGTATGGCTGCCTAAACAATACCTGCATAATGACATGCTCAGTCAACAGGCCAAGGTGTTAGGTCAAATTTCACAAGGCCCCACCCCTAGATTTTAAAACTACAGGTAATCAGTGGCTACAGAGAGAGGGATAGTCAGGCTTCTCCAGGGATACCACCAATAGGTTATCCGATTCCAAATGATCAGCTCAAAATAGATGTAGATTTGAGAAACACTAAACGGACTCAATAGGTTGGTGGGTGGGTGGATGGATGGGTGGATGGATGGACAGATAGATGGATGGGTGGGTGGATGGATGGTTGTATGTATGTATGTATGTATGGATGGATGGATGGATGGATGGATGGATGGATGGATATTTGGGTGGATGGATGGGTGGATGGATGGATGGGTGGGTGGATGGATGGATGGATGGATATTTAGAAGGATGGATGGATGGATGGATGAATGGGTGGATGGATGGATGGATGGATGGATGGGTGGATGGGTGGATGGATGGATGGTTGGATGGATGGATATTTAGAAGGATGGATGGATGGATGGATGGACAGATGGATGGGTGGATAGGTGGCTGGGGATAAATGGGTGGATGATGGATGATGGATGGGCGGATGGAGGATGAATAGATATGTATATGTATGGCAACAATAGTAACTGTAGGAGAGATCATGAACTTGAGGGGAGAGGGTGACACAAGAAGGGTTGGGGAGAGGGAGAACTAGAAGTTATGTAAATAAATAACTCACGTACAAAATTTGTAAGAAAAACAAGTTTTTCAAATGTGCCCTGGGCTTTGACAGTTGACTTCGTTAGGGTTTCTATTGTTGTGATAAAACACCATGACCGAAAGCAACTTGGGGAGCAAAGAGTTCATTTCATTTTAACAGCTTGTGGTCTATCAGGAAGGGAAGTCGGGGCAGGAACTGAAGCAGAGACCATGACATAACACGACATACTGGCTTGCTCGGTTTGCTTTCTTACACACCTCTCCAGATATGGTTATTCATCAAGAATATGAACCCTCAGACTTGCCCACAGGCCAGTCTGATGGAGGCAATTTCCCAGCTGAGGTTCCTTTCCCCAGGTGACTCTAGCTTGTGTCAAATTGATAAAAACCTAACCAATACAGCTTTGTTCCGGTCTCCCTGGTTTCTTATTTCTTAGTAACAAATGTAGCAATATGGCATGTAGCCATCGTTAAAGGTTCTGGGTGAGGTGTAGTGTGCACCGGGTAGGCACAGATACAAAGATGGTGATGAGCCCCTTTATAGGAGGTCAGAAATTCACAAGGACCTTAGTCAGAGGTTGGTATTCTGTGTTCATAGTCATCACTGAGCAGGGTCTCCTGAGTCCACTATTTCCTTCTCTGTTTCTTTCACTACCGAAGAGTAGAACTGGTCTTTTCCTTTCTCAGCTGGGGGAAGGTAATGAGGAATCCAACACCAGTGATGCCTCTGTCCGTGACCTCTCGTCTCCTATGGACTCGGCATCTGCTGATAGCCAGCTCAGTGACAGAATCCTCTCAGGATGAGAAAGAGGTCAGAGTTGAAGGGTACCCTGGTCTCCTCCACTGCTGCACACAACTGGAGCTGGACAGCTGAGTTTGTTGTCCTTACCAAAGGATTCTCTTTGCCTCTGGTGGGCCACCCCTCTCTGGTGAGCGAGTCTCTGCTGTTACTGGTCCTCAGCTCTGCCTTCTGCTCTTTTCTATCCGCCATCAGTCCAGCCTTGATACCGTTCTCTAGCCTTGGCATAGAAGGTGGCACATTCACCCCAAGGAACAAAGATATAGTTTTCGCCATGGGAATCAGTGTGTGGCTGGAAGGCTGCCCCCCAGCATTGGCCTGGAGCAGGGTCCATGGAACCTTCCCACTGAGGAGGTGGTGGCATGTGAGCTTCTAGCCTCTGACACACAAGCGGGGAGACAGTACTCAGATTAGCCGAGGCTGCCCAGGATTGTCTAATACACTGTTGCTGGAGCCAGTGGATCCCTCGTGATCTGAAGAATGTACAGATTCCCAGGGTGATTTTCCCTTCTGTAACCTGTCACTGTAGAATCTACCACTCAGGGTGTTGCCAGGACTACAGGGGAGAGTGACCACACTGGCCATGGCTGACGCTTGTTGAGTGACTATCCGTGATCATCGCTGCCATCCTCCTCCTCCCGGGCTCCCTGCCGTCGTCACGGTGATAACGGCAGCAATGATGATCTTGGTGTTGATGACTGTGATTGGATGATGCTCCTGATGATGGCATTGAAGGGAATTTCAGTTATGCTGATGTAGGTCGTGACTATCGTCACCGCCACCAAAATCTAAATAGTCTTCGTCATCACTTTGCCATCAGGATTAACACCATCATCACCACCATCAACATCATCACCATCATCTCTGTCTTAGTCATCAGCTTTCTCCTCCTCTTTGGTGCATCTGCCAGCTCGGGATCAGCATAGTCCTTCAGAACGACACGGCTGCTTCTTGACTGTTCTGTCTGTAACACGATAGGACAGTGAGCAGGCAACACCCTTTCTAGAGTTGTCCATCAAACTGCCCATCCTTGTCAACTCCTCCCCTGCTTGCAAGATCTGTGATGGTTCTCAGACCCTAGTGAGAAGACGGAGATGCCTGGGCTGGTGGGTTCTCCATTATTGAGGAGAGTGAAGATAGCTCCCGAGGTCTAGCTTGGCTTTAACCCCACTGGTGAGGTTGAATAGTGGTCTTGAAAGAGTAGGAGGCTCACCCAAGGTCAACAGGAAGTGCTCCAGACTGAGCACAGGTGTGTGGGAAGCCACAGGCCTCGGTGGGCACTGAGAGTTCTGACTTCAAAGCAAGTGGAATTGACCCGCTGTTCCCGACAGCAGCCATGATGGCTACGAGGGCCTCTGCAAGCACCATGCCGCACAGAGAGTGTGCCACAGTGGCTCTCAAATCAACGGGTAGAAACGGTGGATGGCCTTGACAGTCCTTCGTCGGCTCCTCTGTTTCCTCCTGTGAACCAGAATGGGAATCCTTCGTGACAAATGGCGGTTCCTCACAGAGGAGGGGGAGTGGGGAACCGGGATGTGTGTTCTGGCTTCGCCAACTTGGAATCGTTCGCGGACGACTCTCCCTTGATGATCGCGTTTAGCAGAGAAGGAACATCTGCTTCTGCGACGGTCTCTGGGAGGCTGCCAGCGACCTCGGAACACTGCAGTCTGCCGCGTGGAAATATGTGCCCTAGCACCTCAGTTCTGTCAGATGTGATGATCGGGTGTCTGCAGAGAGGGTGTTAGAATTGGGTGCCAGGTAGAGACAGGACAGGGTCCACTCATCTCAAAGACATCAGCCCTCAGAGGAAGATGCTTTGCCCTGAAGGTTCCCCAAGCTACCTTGGTCTTCCGTTCAGATCCCATGTTTACCAACATCAGGAAAGAGCCGAGGCTGTGTACCCTGCAGACCACTGAGGCTGGATCATAGTCATCTGGGGAAAATATTTATTCCTATGTCCCAGGAGGGCTGTGATAAATGAGGTCCAGAAGGAATGTGGACAAGGATGGGGCCAGAGGCGGGAGCTAGTACCCGCCTTCTCCGCTCTATCCTGCATCACTGGTTGGGAGCACTGGAGGGGGATGAGGGAGAAATCATGACCTTGGCCATTCGTCTGCATTAGTTCTGGCTATCCAACTGCCAAGGTGGGCTCTGCCCGTCTATCCCCTTCCTGTCAACTCTATGGTCCAGTCCACCTTCATTCTTCCCTGGGGAGAAGGATAGGACTTCCAGGCCGGGTGACAGAAGACTCACCCTTCCTTCGTTATTTCACTGCTGGGAACTAACTTTGCAGGCAGCAGTCATGGAGGGCTCTAGGAACAGGAGACAGCCCTGGGGAGGGCGTCTTTAGGGTCTGCTGTAGGGGAACTCATCTTCTTCTAGAAGTCCTGTATGGGTCAGACTGGCACCACCTGGGTCAGGCCAGTCTCCTCCACATGCTCATGCTCATGGCTCCAGAATAGAGAAGCAGAACCTTTGCACCATGCACGAGGAGGGAAGTAGGGAGGGAGGGCTTGGGAATCTCGGCAGAGCTACTTGAATCCAGATCAAGGCAGCAGGCACAGGGCACAACTGCCCATGGCCAAGTCCTTGCTGAGATGCTAAGTACGGGAAAGACTCTCAATCAGGGCTGGAGACTCTCTTTCTGGATGCAGGGTAACAGTCTTGTTGCTTCAAATGAATCTCTAAGCACCTGCTCAATGTCCTTTGGTCTGTCCCTGCCAGCTCCAGCCCTGGTGCCTTCCGCCATGGCCTTGCCTGTGTGCTGATCTTTGACCCCTGTGTCATGACCTTTGACCTCTCCCATCTCCTCCCCTCCAGGTCTGGCTGTGCATCAGATCATCACCATCACCGTCTCCCTCATCATGGTGATTGCTGCGCTCATCACAACTCTTGTCTTAAAAAACTGGTAAGGCCCGGGAGCGTCGGGCTGCGGGGGTACCCAGGGAGGTCTGCACAGAGAGCACCAACATTTTAAGACCGGGTTTAGATGCTCCGGATTTAACTCCATTGGCAGAATACTTGGCCAGCTTGCCTGGAGCCTTGGCTTCCTTCCCAGCTCTGCGTACACTGGGTGTGTTGGCCTGTACCTCTAATTCCAGCGCTAGGGAAGTAGAGGCAAGAGCGTCAGAGGTTCAAGGTCAGCCTCAGCTATGTAGCTGGGTAACACAAGACCTCCATTTCAGATGAAACAGACCTGAATGGCAGCCTACAGACTGCATTCCCGTTGGAGTAGGAGGTCCCAGGTGACTACAGTAAAAGGGACTGTGGCCACGACTGTATTCAGCTGGGTCTGCTTTCTAATGTAGTTCTTATCTCGGCTCCCACGCCCCACCTTTGTGACATGGTTTCCCAGGATACATGTTTCTCCCGTCACCCAGGTCTAGCTGGACCCATGTGTTATCTGTGTCCATTGCCTATCATACCTCCCAGAAGGGCAGAGAAGCATCATCTGCCTGGCCAGACCCCTCCTGGACTCCCATTCTCCACTGAGGTCAAAGCTGCAATCCCAGACAGACTTTCTCTGCCTTGAGCAGTATTTCTCTGCTCGCTAACCACTCTGCTGCCTTGCTGCAGATGGCTCCCTTCCCTGCTCCCTTCTGTAAAGTGGCCTTCTTTGAGGCTGGCCTTGCTGGGTGTGTTCTTCTGACACAGCCCAAGAAAACCGAGAGGGTTCCTTGCTGCCTGTAGCACTTGCATCTCAGATCCTCCTGCAGCCACTTGGAAAGGCATCTGTTGCTTGTGGGCCTCAGAGGTCCAGCTCCCCAGCGGTACAGTGTGCCCTGATCCCAGACATATGTAAATAACAAGTAGGGTTCCAGCCACTGGACAAACCCAGAAGCAAGGGAGCCAGAGGTAGGTAGCAAGGGGGACTAACAGCCCAGGACAAACCCCATTCCACTGGCCTCATACCTGGTAGGCAGGTGGACTCCTGGTAGATCCAGTATACATGGACAGCAAAGTATTTCAAGGGGGACGACCCCAGTCCCTTGTGCATGTGACATAGTACGACATCATGACCAAACCCCAGGAACAGAGAGGACTTGTGACCCCCTTCTGTGACAAGCCAAGCAATTAGGCGTGAGTGAAGACGGTCAGTAGAGCTCAGAGTCTCTTCTTTTGTTTTTTTTTTTTCCCCGAGACAGGGTTTCTCTGTGTAGCCCTGGCTGTCCTGGAACTCACTCTGTAGACCAGGCTGGCCTCGAACTCAGAAATCCGCCTGCCTCTGCCTCCCAAGTGCTGGGATTAAAGGCGTGCGCCACCACCGTCCGGCTTCAGAGTCTCTTCTGCTGAGGGATCTTCTGCCCCGTGCTCAGTTTCAGCAGGAATCAAAGCCTCCCTCCCACTTGGGGAAACAGAAGCAGAGAGTAAAGTGAGACCCTCAGAAGACAGGCCACCTGGCTTTGGTGTCACCTTGCGTTCCTGTGATATTCCCTCAGAGACAGGAGTGGGGTCCCCTGTTCATCCTCCAAGACTGGTGGAGGAGTGAGGCGGAGCTCATGGGGCACGAGAGAGCGCCTTTGTCAGATCCTGGCAAGCACACAAGTCATTGTTTCACCTTTGAAGATGCGTTCTGGGCAAGGTGACATAAAGACAGACAGACAGACAGATAGACAGACATACAGCAAGTCGGGGGGCAGGGCAGGAGCTACCTTTCAGCAGTTCATCCAACAGTCAAGCAGTCTCTAACCCCAGGCTACCCCCCACACACACACACAAAGGTCGCCTCCTGGCCACCCAGCCCTCCTGCAATGGGCATTATCAACCTTTCCATCCAATTAAGGCATCTGAGGGAAACTGAGTCAGCCATCTCAGTCTAGCTGACATTCTTTAGGCAAATAAGGTTCCCTAGTCCCACCGCTCACCTCAAAGCACTCTTGTGATAATGGCCGCATTTAAAATTCAGATTTTATATCTGAAAAAAAAAAAAAAAGCTGATTGCTTGATTGTGGTTGATCTTCCTGAAGAGGCTGGGAATTACTATGTCATATAAATCATGCCTGGCAGCGGAGGCCTCACTGTGGATGTGCGGGAGCCAGCCGCACATGAGCTCCGGGACCTGCCCACCCCCACCTCCAACCCGCCTCTCTCTCTCCTAGTTGTGCCCCAAGCGGTCACACTCGGAGGAACAGCCACCAGCGGAAGATGAATCAGCAGGAGGAGAGTTGCCAGAACTTGACGGACTTCACCCCGGCCCGGGTGCCCAGCAGTGTGGATATCTTCACCGCCTATAATGAGACACTGCAGTGTTCCCACGAGTGTGTCAGGGCCTCCGTGCCGGTGTATGCCGATGAGACGCTGCACTCAACCGGGGAGTACAAGTCCACGTTCAATGGAAACCGGTGAGTTCCACGTGATCCAGGCTCTGAGGTTCAAAGCTCTGTGTGGGTGAACCGGGCACTGCCATTTTGGCCAGTTGCCCCATAGAGCTTGCAAGGGCCCAGCACATGCGGAGAGCTGATTTGTCAAAGCGATAGCAGTGAAGTTGAATCAACAGGTATGTAGCCACCCTGGGAAGCACAGCGGAAGTCATAGTGAAAACCTATTGAAATACGTCCGCGCGGCTTAGAATAGACCACACCAGACCAAATGGTTCTAAGGTTCTGAGTGGGGTTTATTCAAGAGATAGGGCAAAGATGGGAGGGGTGAAGAAGAGGAGGAAGGTGAAAGAAGAGAGAAAGGTCAGGGGGCTCTGCCTGTATTATATGGGCGGTGACGTAGCCTCTCCCAGGTAAAGGTAGAAGGTAGCCAAGTGGGTTCTGGGAATGTTTGGTGATTGCCTTGACAACGATGTGGGGGTCGCCTAGATGTGACGTCACTGGGTTCAGAGCTTGATACCAACACCTATCCTAGACCCCCAAACTGTGATGAAGAGGTATTCTCAGCCCCTCCCACTGTGCCTGGGGCTGAGTACCTACCTGCCCTCCAGCCTTAGGGTTCAAAGCCAGCCAAGGACTCACTGCTCCCTCGAGCATCAGCAGATCATGTTGGGTTCCTCCCACAGTCGGTATCTCTGAGATTTTGTCAACAATAATGTGTCGGCAGCCAGCTCAGAAACACGGAAAACGCCAAGCAGACTGGAGCCTCTTATTAAATGCTGTTATTAAATGGGTTATCCCTCAAAGAAGACACCCTTCTCCAGCCATCCCTGGGAATGGTTAGCAAACTCCTGAGTCAGCCGCTCAGGGTTTGCCCAGCATTAAATTAAAATATCAATAAGCTATTTTTTTTAAGTGACTGTGCACCCGTGCGTCATTTGTAAATTAGGAAAAGAAAAAAAGAAAAAAGAAATGAGGCTGTAAGCTGGATGCTCACATGCCTGAAAGGCCCCTCCCCAGATCAGAGCTGGATTAGCAGTTGTCTTAGTTATGGTTTTACTGCTGTGAACAGACACCATGACCGAGACAACTCTCATAAGGACAACATTTAATTGGTGCTGGATTACAGGTTTAGAGGTACAGTCCATTATCATCAAGGAGGGAGCAGAGCAGCATCCAAGCAGGCATAGTGCAGGAGGAGTTGAGAGTTCTACATCTTCATCTGAAGGCTGCTAGCAGATACTGGCTTCCAAGCAGCTAAGATGAGGGTCTTAAAGCTCATACCCACAGTGACACACCCACTCCAACAAGGCCACACCTACTCCATCAAGGCCACACCCACTCCAACAAGACCACACCCACTCCAACAAGGCCACACCTACTACAACAAGGGCACACCCACCTCCTAATAGTGTCACTCCCTGGCCGAGCATATTCAAACCATCACAACAGCATAGGAACACTGTTGAGAGCTCCCTGTCATGGCCATGGGGAGGACGGCTTTGGGTCACTCTGTCATTTCCAACATATTTGCTGCTTTACTATAAGTAAGGGTGAATCTTGGACATCAGGGCTTCTGGCCACCAGTTCATATGCTCCTGTGCTACTGGCTAAGTGAGCAGGTGAGCCATAGGGAAAACCCTGTCTTTCTGTAGAGGGTTTGGTATCTGATACTCTCATACCCTGCTACAGAACCAGGAAGGGTAACACTCTGGTGCCTGCCACTGGGCCTGGGACATGGTAGTTGCTTGTTTTATATCTGTTGTTGTGATGAAACACCTTGACAAAAAGCAGCTTAGAATAGAAAGGAGCTTACTCAGTTTATTCAGGATTCAGCCTATCATTACAGGGATTTCACAGCAGCAGAAGCTTAAAGCAGCTGGCTCTCTAGAGCCGAGAGAAATAAATGCATGTGTATCTGCTTGCTTGCCGTCTTCACATTTATATGTTTCAGAATCCCCTACCTAGGGAATGGTGCCACTCACAGTAGTCTGGATTCTCCCAGGATCCCCTGCCTAGGGAATGGTGCCACTCACAGTGGTCTGGATTCTCCCAGGATCCCCTGCCTAGGAAATGGTGCCACTCACAGTGGTCTGGATTTTCCCAGAATCCCCTGCCTAGGGAATGGTGCCACTCACAGTGGTCTGGATTTTCCCAGAATCCCCTGCCTAAGGAATGGTGCCACTCACAGTGGTCTGGATTCTCCCAGGATCCCCTGCCTAGGGAATGGTGCTACTCACAGTGGTCTGGATTCTCCCAGGATCTCCTGCCTAGGGAATGGTGCCACTCACAGTGGTCTGGATTCTCACAGGATCCCCTGCCTAGGGAATGGTGCCACTCACAGTGGTCTGGATTCTCCCAGGATCCCCTACCTAGGGAATGGTGCCACTCACAGTGGTCTGGATTCTCCCAGAATCCCCTGCCTAGGGAATGGTGCCACTCACAGTGGTCTGAATTTCACCCACATTAATTAACAATGAAGATAACCCCACTCCATAGACATGCTCACGGGCCAACCTGATTTATATGGTCCCTCACTGTGACTCTCTTCCAAGGTAATTCTAGGTTGTGTCAAATTGGTAGTTAACACTAACCATCACAGTAACCTGCTTTCAATGACAAAATGTAAGGGAAACATTTTAGGACCTAAGTGCTGTCCTTTCTATCATAGGCAATATGGTCTCTGCCTATGGATGCATAGACCCTGGCTTTAAGCTCACCCCAAAGCCAGCATCTGGAGATAGCACAGGAGTGAGGGATGGCCAGCCTTCCCGCCTTCACACCTGAGTCCTCAACCTCCAGCCTCTCTGCTCATGTGCCTGCAAGAAAATGGTAGTCCCTTAAAAACCCTCCTCAAGAGAGCAGACCCAACCTGCAGGCTACCCAGCTCACCTGCCCTGTGGTGTGCACAGGCTAACAACACCATCCTTCTCTGCTCTCCCAGGTCCTCCTCTGCGGATAGGCATCTCATCCCTGTGGCCTTTGTGTCTGAGAAATGGTTTGAAATCTCCTGCTGACTGGCCGAAGGCTTTTTACCTCCTGGGGGCGGGGCAGACGCCATGTGTCTGTTTCATGGTACGTATCTTCCTGGGGCAGGATGCCCTCCCCTCCACTACTATCCTTACCTCTTTTTGAGATGACCAGGAGCCCCTCTCTAAGACAGTGGGTTTCTCAGGACATCCCCTGTGTAGGTACAGGACCATGGGTCTCTGAGGTACGTCTCTCAGACACACAGATGAGACTATGCCATGGGGGAGTAGCTCACAGGATCTCCTTGCAGCAGTAGCAGCAGCAGCAGCAGCAGCAGCAGCTCAACTGTCATGCTCTCCCTGTGCAGAGCTGAGAGCTGAAATCACCTTCAGAAACAAGCTCTAGGCACAGCACCCTCTTCCCTCAACAGGAAGCCACCCACCGGGGCAGCAGCTAAGCAGACAGGGATCACACCCTCATCACACAAACCATGCTGGGGGAGAGGGGGAGGGCGACCAGATTGGAATTAAAAGACCGTCTTGAACTATGAAAATAAGAGATAAGAAATGACATGATGAAGAAAGGAAGCGAAAGACTTGAGACATCCTCTAATTTGAAGCTGGAGACCTGCACCCAGACAGGATGAATTCTTCACGCTCTGCTGCCTGGGAACATTCGGCTTGCTTTGGTTGGTATGAACATCCAATGGCTTCTGTGCTATATCTGTGAATAGTAGCCCACAGGGCCGTGAGCACCTTGCCCAGGAGCTGCACAGCCCACAAGTCCGACTTACACATGCTGCAGACACAGCCCGTGGTGGTGTCTGTCTGTCCTCCTTTCCTTTGAGATGCAAGTCTTACCGGGAACCCTCCTTCGCCCTGAGTATCACAGCAGAGCCAGCAAGTCTATGTCCCTCTTGTCAAAGAGGCATCCATCCAATCATTTCCGGTGAGATGACAAGCCCGACTCTTAGGACACGGTGTCCGCAAATCTTTTCCTCTTGCTCGGTGCTTACCTACTGTGTGGGATGTGGGGTGAGCATGGCTCAGAGGCTCTATACCCAGCCCTTGTCCAGCAGGAAGCAGGGAAGAATTGCTGCCAGTTTGGAAACGAATCGGTCGGTTCTTAATCCCGGCACTAATGAATCGCAAGTTTGGTCCAAATCAAATCTCCAGCCCTCAGTCTCTGTCCCAAAGCCAACATGTTCCGCCAACGGGCAAGCGAATGTAATTAGATTAGACTGGAAATGAGCCTTCCGCGGAGGCCTTCACCGAGCCTGGGTGGCAAGCACAGCCTTCTAGCAGGCAAGGACTCAGAGCCCGGTGCGTCCTCAGAGCACAGTGCCATGGTCTTCCAGTGTGCTCTCTCCATTGGGGATGTGGATGTGCACACTCAGCTCGTGTTGGGGAGCAGTGGAGTTCTCTGTCACCTGGTGAGGCTTGGCAGGTCCCAGGGTGGGGTAGGTGCCACATCTAGGTGATAGCTTTAAAAGTTCATCAAAGGTGGCCCGGTTGCTAATGTCTGTAATCAGGCAATCGTAAGTCTGTGGCAGGGGAATCACTGAGAGTTCAAAGACAATATGGGTACAGAGTCAGATCCTGTATCAATTAAAAAGAAAAAGCAAACAAGAAAAAGTGTTAAACGATAATTCATTAACATGGAGATTCTGAGTCTGACCACTGAACCACCACTTCCTGGGAGAGCTGGGAGTCCATAGGCCACATGACTTGGGGCAACTCTCCCAGCAAGCCCATCTACAGGAGGGAAACTGAGTCTGAGAGGAGACAGATGATTTGGCCATGATGGTCTAGATTGTTGTTGGTGAATGAGGCCCAGTTACCCAGAGCTCCCTGGTTTCAGGATGTCACACTGTCCACCCTACAGATGGCTCTGCCTTGCAAACCCCTTGCAGTGTCTGAGACCCAGCCCATTTCTATGAAAGACGCCTCTGTTCTCTCACCCCCTAGGTCAGCCCCAAGCAATTGGCAGGCGGAGGGTAGGGTGGGCCTGTAAGATCTCCATTTAAAGGGGATGGCCAACCAGGCTGCAGGAAGGCCAGTCCTGAGTGCCCAGGGGCCTGCACTTTGCAGCCTTCTTGCAGGGAGCTGCAGCACAGACTTTACAAGAACCTAGAACTCAGGAACAGGACACATGGTTTTATTTGTTCCTCTTCCCCAGACCTCTTATCTTTCCGGAGACATCTGCTCTTCCCCGGAGCAGTGAACTCCCCACAGTTTTGATCAGGTATCTCAGTACGCTGATCTCAGGGATGTCGGATGGATCTGCCCCTGGGGGGGTGGGGGAGTTCAGTCACTCTCATCTACGTGAGCACATCTGTTTCCAGGCCACGCCCGCCTCTCCATGTGCATCATGGGGACCCTCTGGGCTCGGAAGAACTAGGCAGTAGTGTCTCCTTTCCAAAAGGATGTGCTCTCTGACGCACCTGCCGTGCTTCACCTCCAGTGACTTTCTGTAGACCAGAACTGGAGAGCTGTGGAAAGAGACTCATTAGTCTCTGATAAATGCTTAAAGATCTCATCGCCGTGTGCCGGGCGATGCATCCATCAGTCACTGGGATGAAAGCTTTCAGACTCCAAGCCTCCCCTGATTCTTATAATTAACGCCTGAGCGTGGGCAACGAGCAGAGACCCGCCGGAGAGATCTCTCAGATTTACACGGCTGCTTATTGTCCCTTAAATAAACAGCAATTAGTAGAAAAACATTTAATTCAGGTTTAAGAGTCAATAGAGATATTTATCTCTTGAAGAGCCTTTAGGACTTTTAGATAGCTTTTTATAGGTGATGTAGCAATTTCTTTAAAGGAATTTATCTGTGTCTGTGTGTGTGTGTGTGTGTGTAGTGTCTGTGTGTGTGCCAGGGTAGTGTCTATGTGAGTTTGTCTATTTGTGTATATTTGTGTGTGTCAATGTGTGTTTGTGTCAGTGTGCTCTCTCTCTCTCTCTCTCTCTCTCTCTCTCTCTCTTTCTCTCTCTTTCTCTCTCTCTCTCTCTTTCCCTCTCCTCCTTCTCCTCTCTCCCCCATCCCTCTGTGTAAGCACGGGCATATATACAGTCTCTTCTGAGTCATCTTTCTGGCCTCTGTGTAGCAGTTTCTTACCCCAACACATCCTTACCCCCTCACAGGACTGCGCCTGTACCCAGCGGTGCCTAACTCTGGCCAAGTCTTCTCCCTGCAGAGAGACTCCTAGGGAGACCCAGGTATCCTGACAGACAAGCTCCCACTTCAGAGAGTCCTTGTCTCATCCCACCTAACAGTGGCTGCAGGTAGCTCTGGAGGAAGCCACATGAAGCCGACGTCTACTCAGAGGCTCGCCTGCCATTGGCTCACGCCTCATTTCCTGTCAGCCCCCACCCCACCCCCGGGATGGCTGAACTTCAGAAAACTGAATTAAGCTTAGGTTCTTCCTCTTCGTCAAAGCCACTTCATTCTGAACAGCACCCCGAAAAACATTGAGACTCTCCAGTCTGGAGCACACAAGAGATGAATCATTACTAATATTCTCAGGAACAAATTGAAGCACAAACTGATAAAAAAAAAAAAAAAGGCAAGTGCTGAACCTACCCCAAAACAAAACAGAACAGAAGAAAACACACCCCGGGGGCTGGGGAGATGGCTTGGTAGAGTGCTTCCAGATGACTAGCGTCCACATCCGAAGCTAGACATGGCCGTTCTGTGAGCTCTGAGTTCACTAAGAGACCCTGTCTCAAGGTGGATGGGGACTGAGAGAAACACCTGATGTTGACCCCTGACGTCTGCATGCATGTGCACAGGCGTGTGCATAGGAGCACGTACACACGCGCCCACACACGTGCATACACGTGTGCACACACAAACACTGCCCAGAGAGGGCGGAGCTCTTGTAACTTAAAGGAATGCTTCTTTCAAGGTAACACAGACAACCTTCTAGAAGCTGTGCTTTCTGTCATCCAGCACAGAAGGAACACGGGGCACAGGTGTCCTTCCAGGCTGGTGAGGAGCTGTGGCACCGGGGACCAGGCCTGCCTCTGCTCAGTAAAGCCCACAAGCCCTGGAAGCCTGCAGTTCAGTTTCCTTCTGGGCAGCAGGGGGCAGAATTTATCCCAGAAATTATCTGTTTGCTCTGCAGTTCCAACCTCCCCTGTCCTTTCCTGCCTGTTTCCTGTTGGGGTCCAGGCTCACATCTTGCATCGTTCCCCGCTGGCCCAGACCCATGGTCTTTCTCCAACTCAGGACCAAAGAGGCTCCTGCACTGAGCCTCTGCAGCCGGAGACCCCAGCCCTCCACTGTGGGGCAGAACTAGAGAACAGCAGGGCAGCGAGCTCAGGGCAGGCCTCTCATCTCTCTTCTCTCCCTGTCTTGAGACTTAGATGATGCCCTGACATTGTCTGAAATCTCTACTCTCTCCAGAAAGTAGGTGCTGCTGTTACAATGGCCGACTCACCACTATCTCCGTCTGCAGTGACACTGCCTCGTAGGCTTGGAGAATTCCCTCCCTGTGTGGTTCCATATAATCACTTTACAAGGGATAGTCCCTGTCACCAGTCTCTACCATCCAGCCTGAGGTGACCTCCACCTCAGATCTGTACTCAGGAAGGATCCTGCTGTCAGGGAAATGCTATGTACCTGGCTGAAAATTCCAGGAAACGCTCTTAAAGGAACCAAGACGGATAGGAATTGAGGGCATGTCCGAGTAGAGGAGAGAGGGAGGGGCATGGTGGTGGGGAAGGTTGGTGGGAGGAGCCAGCATGGAGAACATAGGATAGAAGTATCTAGAAGGCTGGCAGGGAGGGGGTGGGGCTGTTCCTTCAGCCTTGCTTTAAGTTCAGGATCAAAGACCAGCATCCTCCGTGGGAGCCTTTCTCATGAAGGTGGGGCGACCCTAAGACTTGCAGCCTGCCTTAGATGCAGGTTTGCCAGTGCTTGCTTTAGAGGGAGGGAGGGAGGGAGGGAGGGAGGGAGGGAGGGAGAGAGAGAGAGAGAGAGAGAGAGAGAGAGAGAGAGAGAAACAGAGAGTCAGAGAGACAGACATAGACACAGAGAGAGAGGG